ACGTATGTTACGTATTTCTATTTCATATTCTTGTCAGCTTTAGCGGTCAACGGAAAGTGAAGAGGGGAAAATGTTTTACCTTTGATGTTTATTTGCTGTTACAGAAGACGTTTGTGAATATACTTTATTCTACGATCTTTTTCTTTTTTACAAATTGCAAGCTATGCTAAGGTTTTTCTAAATAGATAAACTATAGCTATAATTTAATATATGAATAATAACAAAAGTGAACATAAAGGATTTTTAATGACAAGATTTTTTTTTCTATTTCATTTCATTTAGTTTTTTTTCTAAATATAATGATTTAGGCATTTAAATGTTGCCCCAGATAATGAAGTTACTTAGAAAATTTATGATAAAACGTTTTGTTAGCACCATTCATGTTTCCAAAACCGAATGATTTAGTTTTTATGTATTGTTTAAGTTTACTACATTGTATATCATTTATATCTTATGTTGTTAAAAATACTACTTAGTCGCAAGTTATAAGTGGCTATATTTTTACAAGTAATTTAACTTATGAATGTTGCTTCAGTATAATGAGTTGCTTTTATAATAATATAATGTTATGTTATTAGCAAATCGTAAACATATTACAAATATAATAAGTCTCATACATTAATCGCCTAAACGCAGAAATAAATATTTCACAAGCAATTTATAGTACTTAGATACAGGATAAATTATATTCTTAAATTCCTTTGTTTTTATACAAATTCTAATTATAGACTATTATTCATGTTGATTGTTTTAACTTTGTTAGTAAGATTATCAAAATTAAAACAAGCTATTATACAAAATAAATATATTCCAATCTCATAATATTATTATAAAAATATTCCAATGATTAAATACTGTAGTGTTCTAAATTTTTTGCGTCTGTAATAAGTAATAAAATAAGATATAGACACTAACATTAATAGAATCTTTTCTCCGTTGCTTTTCTTATGGAAATATCTATAGTATAATTGTTTATATAATAATACAACATGGAGAATAACTGCTAAGATCCTTGTATTGCTTTCTGACAGAGTCGCCTTTCCAAATTGAAGGATGTTGGTAGTTTTTTTTTATTCTAACTTGATCTATTATATTTTATCATGTGTTATTGTTTGGTACTTTTGTTTTCTAAAACGATTAATTTGTTTTGGAAATTTAAGCTATAAATGTTTTAACTACATGTTTATTATGAAAAGGTAACTAAGCCTATTATATTAATGCTTTATAAAACTAAAAGAGAAATGTTACTGAATACCTACTTGTCAGCAATATCTCTTCATTATAATGATAAATTTTCCATCAAATAATCGAGGTTGAAAATATGATGCGTCATTCGATACTTTGTTTAGTAAAGAAAATAGGTTTTTTCCAACAAATCGGAAATTCTCACATTTGTTATATTATTTGTATTTGATTTCATTTATTATTATTGGCCATTAGTCTTTCTTTTTAATTTGCAGATATAGTTTTAAAATTGACTTATTTATATATTGCCAGCATTTAAAAAATACAGCTTATGAATTTTATATTATAGAACCAGTTATTTTTCTTGTAGTCATTATATTTTTGAGGAAAATAAAACAAAAACAGTTAAAATAATTAGTTAATAATAGCGTTTCCATCGTTTTTTTAACAAAATAAGATTATTTTCAGCCAGAAATTGTGTGGACAATTTCAAATTACGCAAAATTAAATTTAATAAAGTGAACAATAACAAACATTTATAGAATAATTAAAAGACTGGAAGGAACTCGACTGACTGAACTGCCTTACATCTTCTTCACGCAAACTTCAAAGGGTCTTAACCGAGTTGAAAGAAATTGTTTGCATGCACACATATGTTTGAAATGTTTAAATTTAGGAGATCAATCAAACTTCAGAATGATACAAAAAATGCTTCAACTATTTTTTTCCTCAAACGTGTATATTTATTTTGCCAAGATTATCTGACTTTATTATAATAAGCCAAACAATTCAACGTACACATTCATCATTCGGTAAAATCTGTCTACTTTATTACTTGGTAGAATGACGTCATTACCATTGACGTCAAAATTGTTTGTAAAATTGATGATTAATCCTTTAATGTTAAAGGCTGTATAATGTGATATATAAATAAAAATATTACGGAGAAACAGGAAAGATTTCTGTAATCGATCACTTGTAAATTGAAAAGTGAAGTATGAACTTTTAATGTCATAACGGAAAACGTATTTGACACACTTTATTTCCGAGAACAGATTTGAACAGAAATTGATTAGTAGAACTTTTAAAGTTTATACCTAAGAGTTAAATTTTCGTAATTTAATAAACACTGTAAGGTTTAATTTAAGTATGACACTTTATTTGATTAGAATGCTCTAGGTCTGTTAAACAAATGTGACCGTATGTAACTGAATTGGTTAAGGGTATGCCAATTGTATTAAACGTTGTCATTAGATTGCAGCCGTTCTGAAATTGCTTTGCAACTACCGTATAGCATTAATTTCACGAAAGATCGACATGAGTTCGTTATTACAGTTACATTTTGTTTCGCGAGGGGAAATGTTGGTAACTGTAATTATTCCACTTTTTCTTCCTAATCGAATTCTATAATTTATGTTTAACTGTTGATATTTACGTTCAAGTGTACAAAATAATAACAAGAACGAGATTTTGGACCACTGATCATTTTTTTTACCAATTAAATTGACTGAATTTATCACCATATATACGAGAATACAGCCAATCGAGATCACTGGTAATAATTTTAATGTCTATTCTTAAAATAACTTTTACAAGATCGACGGAACAAGGTTACATATAACGGCCATTTGAACTTGCTAGATAGCATTTATTTACGCCCATTCATCAAAGAATAAAAAAGGAAAAGATTAAAGTGTTTTATAATGTATTGCGAAGAGTTAAATCTTCAACAAATTTATAGGCAGTCAAAAATACGATTTTGGCGTGAATAGCAGTAATAAAATTAATATTACTCGTTCATACTAGTTAAAAAAATAAACTTTACGCTATAGGAGTATTATAATAGCGTTTTAATTTTGATGCTATTTATGCAATGAGTAATTTTTCCCATAAATTTTATCGATGTGTGTACATAAATCAATGAGAGCATTTTTGTTTGAAATATGAGTTGTTATAATGTTTATGGAACATCGGGAGGATTTATATATATATTAATATATAAATATATCATATAATGAACATTCTAAATAAATTTCTTATTAGTCGTTGACTTCTTGGTATTTATAATTATTTAGTTTTTATATACGAAAGCTATTTATATCTTCTGTAATGTGTAATCTACACTCTTTGTTATATATATATTACAAATTTTATTGCGATCGGTTGAGCAACGGCAATGAGGGCGTAAAAGAATAATATACACACGTTAAAACCAATACATAAATACGCTCACCTTTGTTTTCTACTAAGTATTTATTACATTGAATATATTTTCTGCATAAGAATTGCGATTTTTTGATTACTATGAGCATTTGCTTAGAATTTCTTAAATTAATTACCAGTTTAACGTGTATAAGGTTACTTTTATAATTTTCTTTATCTCGTTTTTTGATGAAACTTAATATATGTGTTTATTAATACAGATTAAAGACTAACTAACTACTGAAACTGGATATATTAGTTTACTTCTTTTTTATTCACATAAAAACTCCTTAGTATTTTTTTCAGGTTTTTAGAAATAAATTCTATGGAATATGTGAAAATTAGGTAAACCCAAAAGATTTCCATCGGTAAAATACTTATACTTTCCTAAAAGAAAAGTATTAATGTTTGAGACCCCGACATTTCCATCGAATATGTATATGTGATACGTGATTGATGGAATATCGCCCATGGTGTTATATTATAAAAAGTACGAGGAAAGTATCCCTATAAATTATGCTATACAATCTATACTTATAATATCCATACATCATGTTTCAATACATCATTTAAGTTATTATTCGTTTGCCAGCTTTTCTCTGTGATTTTTTTCAATCATATCCATCAAATAATCGTTTTCTTATTATTCGGTCGTAAAGACTCATATAATAAAATAAATATTATTGTGTTTTTATTTGTACAATAGCTCTGTATTAGCGAAGCTTCTTATTTAGTTGTGTTATAAAGTAAAAAACTACATCCTTACTATGGCCATACATTTTTTGAGATTTTTGAAGTTATATTTAAAGTATTAAAGATTTTTTTTAAATATTTGATACATTAAAGTTTGATCTCCATCTTATTGATACCAAATTAAAAAAAATACGTAAACACAACACATGAAACTTACTATAGCAGAAGTTGTTGTTTTTCGTTGTCATAAACAGATCGGAGTTACGACTGTTTTGTTACGAACTGTTTACACCGGGGCTTTCACTTTGGCAGCGCACCACCTCGGGCTGAAATTTATGGCACGAAATATCATCAAAAGGCTCATTAAAATTAATGAATAATATCATTCGGTACATCCGCAACAATATCTATAATAACAACAACATAATCAAGTTAACACCACTAAATAATTCGTTAAATTTATTGTTTATTTCTAATTTGTTTCAGATAATCATGTGGATATTCATAGAAGGAAGATATCTCAATGATAACAAAGGAAAATGTAACACACGATGTTCGATTCCTATGAGCATGAATATTTTGAATCTAGCTCTTTGAAATATACAGAATATACAAATCTGACTGACATTGTCACTGACGATGTCAATAATAGTTCTACGTTTGATAACTCAACATGGACAGAAGAAGCTGTTTGTTTCGATACATCATCAGCACCTTTCCTATCAAGTACATTGTTTCAGACCTTTGTTTTCTTTATGTATTGCACCGTATTTGTTATAGCTCTTTTAGGAAATGGGTTAGTTTGTTTCGTTGTTCAAAGTTCACAAAGGATGAAAACTGTAACGAACTATTTCATAATGAACTTAGCCATTGGTGACATATTAATGACTATATTTTGTGTTCCATTTTCTTTTGTTTCAATGCTAGTGTTAAGATACTGGCCTTTCGGTATCGTTATGTGTAAAGTTGTGAATTATTCTCAAGCAGTATCAGTGTTTGTGAGTGCTTATACATTATTAGCTATATCTATAGATCGATATATGGCAATTATGAGACCGCTGCGGCCAAGGATGGGGAAAACGGCGGCCAAGTTTGTAGTAGCCACTGTTTGGGGCGGCGCCCTGTCTACAGCTGCTCCAATATTTGTTGTATCAAAGATACAGAGACCAACTGAATGGCATAAATTCTGCAAAGCGTGAGTATAATATACATACAAAAAAGTCATTTATCAAATTTAAACTTTTAGTAAAATATGTAGGTCCTAATGCAAACAATTCTTTTTTTTTATTTTGTGATGGTCATATGATTTTTTTATTTTAATGTTATTATGACGGCTTCTTTTACTCCATATCACTATATGGAGTGAGAGAGTTCTGTTTTATTTTCAGAGACATATGTTTAGAGCAGTGGGATCGACCTGGTCAGAGCGAGCAGTATTCTTGTGCTTTAATGGCTCTTCAGTTTGGGTTGCCCCTTTTGGCTCTGGTATGCACATATGCTCGAATAGCACATGTAGTTTGGGGAGGTCGACCGCCCGGTGAAGCGCAAACAGCGAGGGACATACGAATTCAACATTCGAAAAGAAAGGTTCATCTATTTTCATTCATCTATTTTAATATAAGTATTAAATAATTTATTCGTTATTTAATGAGTAATTATTGTAAAAAATATTTACACAAACTATATCTTTCTCATCTTAATCGCATTTCACTTGACGTTTCCATTACTTTTCAGCATTAAAGATCAAGGGAAGTCGAAATTAAAGTGAGTTGTTTTTTGTTAGCTACCGACAAGGGTTTCTTATTTTTTTCGCGCACTACAGATGAATGCACAAAAAACAAAACTCACTGATAGATTCTTTCACCTCGTCATCGTGTTATTAAAACTGCGTAAAAGTAACCGAAACGTCAGATAAAATGTGAAAATAATATTTACACTTTAAACTAAAAATATACTGTTTTTTAAATGCACTCGTTAAAATCTTAAAAATTATTACTATGAAAATATGAGTACTTCGTATTATAATTAGAAACATCAACATCGGAAATTACCTCCTAATTTAAATATAATTGAAGTTTTTATATAAACATTGTATTTTGCTGAATTTTAATTAGGTATTTCCTTTTCTCCACACTATTCTTACCTTTATTTCATGTGATGAAAAAATCTGTCCAAGAGTTTCGAAAGTTAGCTGAAAAAAATATTCAGACAAATTTATCAAATATCTTATTTTCATCACTTTTCAATATTGTATGCAGTTTTTAGTAAAATTAAGACATCACGAATGACCAACAAGAATTTTAAGGAATCTTTTGTTCCTTAGTTAGGATGGCAACCCTTATTATTAATTTTCATTCACATAGACAGTGCAGAACTGATTTCACGGGTATGAATAGAAAATGTAGAGAACAAAGCTCCTAAATTTTGTAAGGTTTTATTAACAATTGGCAGCAAAATGCATTGTTATGAGGTACTTTGTTGAAATAATATATTATAATTACATACATGTGTTCTTTTTTGAGTAAATTATTTGTGTAATTCTATTATATTTCGAAAAAAAAGCATTATTACATTACAAGAAAGTTGTGCTATAATAAAACGATTTACGTTTATTTTATATCAATAATATAAACTTATTTTGTAAAATTTCATCTCAAATCAAACCCATTGTACGGTATACTTTTTAGTAATTATATTAAAATAAATATTGTTTTTGTATTATTGAGGTGGATAGTATAAATGTGCATCATAATTTCAATAGATAGATTATGCATGATTAAGTTTCAAATGTATTCACATGAAATAAAATGGTTTATAAAATTTTAATAGCATTTATATTTCAATAATAATGTGTAGACGACGATTTATTTACTATGTTATTTAAGGTTTATAATATTTTACATTTTAGAAAAAAATCATGAGCTTATGTTTGTATAGAAATATACTTTCTATTAAGTATTCGATATATACATATATACAAACGTGTCTAAGAAAAATTTGAGTTATTCAATATCTGAAAACTCAAAGAGCTTTAATTATAAGTTTAAAAATTTAGTAATTTTTTTATTGAATACTAGAAGACCTGGCGAACTTCGTATCGCCCTATAATCAAGAAATATCTGTTAATTTTTTTTTATTTATATTTTTGGAGTTTACCTGTAAGCCATAAATCTCCGTGTTTTGAAGTGCGACAGAATGATTTACATATTAGTTAGTTGTCAAATCTAATGTCAAAAAAACCGTTTGTATGGGAAATAGAAAAGGATGGGTTTTATGATTTTCCCAATAATGAATCAATTTTTTTCAGCTTTTATACCTTCCCTGAACCTCCACAAACATTTCAAGACTAAGATAAGATAAATCCGTTCAGCCGTTCTCTAGTTTTAGCGAGACTAAGGAACAGCAATCCATTTTTATATATATAGAAGATAGCAAGAACGGTTTTATTCATTTTTTGTCTATTTGACTTTTCACACGTCAAGGGCATTAGGAAATTGATGTTATCTTCAAAAGATATCACCGCATCCGTGTGATTTTACGATCTGTCAATGAAATGACTGATACCGCTCATCTGGTATTACAACTTCCAAGCATTACGTAAACTATAAATTTAAATGTTGTATAATAAATATGTACATTAATAGTTTCGTGATTCATATGTGTTGTTTAATTTTCGAGAGTTTTATAAAAAAAATCGTTACACAAATCAATTTTATGAGATTAGCACTCATCGTCTTGTATTTTTATTTTGATATGAGGATTATTTTTATTATCTTCTCAAAGAATTTAATATACGAATAGTATTAAGAATGTTTATAAAAAGTAATATTTGGATTACTAAGCTTAAAGTTAAGAGCAGTTCTTTTTCATCGATACATTTATGTGTTATCTTTTTATACATATACAAATTACATTTATATATCGTTAGATAGGACCTTCATTAGTCAATGTTCATCGGAGCTTTGTTATTATAATAACAGTCTTAATAGCTAATATTTCTTAACTGTTTCATCCAAGTAGAAACCGACAAGTATTAAGCGAGGAACACATTTATCAACATGTCTGTCTTGTTGTTTTTCTGAGTAGTCTTTGTTTATATTTCATGACATATTGCTTTAAACTCCATACTTTAAAAATGCATGATGTATTTCAACGCGTTTTGTTTTTGTAATATCGAAATATACTGTTCACGCTTTGAATGCCAGTTATAAATATAAATGAATACATTTGAAAAATAACAGTTTCCTCAACATAAGTTTGCATAATCAAACTAAATATAGTTCTTCAGTCTCATTATATTATTATAATAAATGAATTAAGTACCTAATTGTATTCTAGATATATTCATTATTGATTACAACATGCTTGTATTGTAATTATAATTGTCGTTTTTATTTTGGTTGTTGACTTTACCTTTTAACAGAAAATTATCCACTAATAAATTTGTTACGTTTATATTTTCAGATGATTAAGATGATGGTGACTGTAGTTGCCGTCTTCACTGTCTGCTGGCTTCCACTTAACATGTTTATAGCAAGTATCATTCATACATTTACATTATTCAGTTAGAACATATTTTCTCTATTACACACACAAGTTATGCCTCGAAACTGTAATCGCAATTCGTGAACGTAAGAAAAAAACTTCTGTTAAAGTGATATTAATTGTTAATTCTCAAAATACATGTCTGTTTCAAGTTTAAATGAAACCAATATTTATCGGATATACTACGCATGTTTTTTTTAAATAAAAAAACTACATACTCCTGACGTTTCGGTTACTTTTCAGCAATCGAAACCGAACCTAAATGTCGGGAGTATGTAGTTTTTTACAAAAATACTCGTGAAAGTCTTAGATCTCATTCTGTTTTAAGTTTTTTTAATATATATATATGGATTTAAATTTAGATACTGTGGACCATTCATGAAAGCGACGAGAGCTGGGCCACTTGGCCGGGAATGCCGTATGTGTGGTTCCTGAGCCATTGGCTGGCTATGTCACATTGCTGTTACAACCCTATTATATACTGCTATATGAACACCAGATATAGAAGAGGATTTAAACAGGTAAATATTCATAAAATGCTATGGGTAACATATTATATAATTCTAATAGATTTTGAAGAAATAAAAAGCCTATAGCATATTTATGCTTATATATATTATTAGGAATATATACTTATTAGGATATTTTCCTAAAGCAACATTTAAGGTCTAGGAAAGTTGAGGTATATGGTACTTTAAATTTAAAATTCATTACATTATATTCAAATAACTTTTGAGCATTCTGTTCTCAACATCCATCCAACATATCTTTTTAGGAAACGGTTTTAATTAATATAATATAATAAAATAATTTGTAGAAAATAAAGCATCAAATTGTTTTTTACTTACTTCCAGTCAAATGAAAATGTTTGCTATACTTTATACAATATAGCATATTGATATACGCGTAGTTAACTTATGAATTAAATTTCTGTTCATATGAACCGGTTCTAAAAACATATGATCTTGATAGGGGCACAAACAAGGCTATATGCTAAAACAACCCCCCCTAGTTTTGGTGTAATTGAGACCATTTATGTATAATGTGTACTTCTGGTATAAATACCAAAATGTTTACCCATTAGTGAGCACATTTACTTTCAAACATATTTTCATTCTTTCATATAACATTTTTAACACTGAAGTGTGAAACGGTGCAAAAAGTAATTAAATATGTTACACGAGAAAAATGCAAACATGAAATAGTAGGTAATAAATATCAATTATAACATTTTAATGTCATAATGTGTAGCTGAAAATGTTAAAGTACGTAAGACCAGCATTTTATAATTGTGTTTTTGCACTACAGATACTAAATAGCATTTTGCCATCGAGACTTGATCAACCATTGAGGTCTAGACATCGGTCCAGTATGTGTGAAGGAATGCCCATGTCAGGTAAGAAATGAGTCACTATCAAGACGAACAGTACTACTCCACCACACGATAATTGCAAAGGATTTTTTCTAATGTTTCATTTATTATTATTATTTAGTTTGAAATTAGGTTAAACTGGTATGTTATACGATAAACAGACTTAGTTGTCAGGCAATTATAGCTTTATTTGCAGAGCTCAAAAGGTCAGGTAGTGTTCTCACGTTACAACGAGATTATTGGAATTAGATTTGATAATACATAATAGAGCAAGATCCCATTATGATATATATAATGTGTGTGTGTCAGTGTCCATATGAAATTTTTTACAATATTTCCAATAACCTAGGTAAAAATCAGACCTCAGCTATGAGTAAAGTGGGAATTATTTTTTTTCTTGAATTTGATTCTTCTAGAATTTACCGTTGTTATAAACCAGCAGATATGTATAGGTTTATTGTAGACACTAATACTAACCTATTATAAATGGTTTGTTAATTAGAAAATAAGCAATGTATGGCGGGACTGGAATCTGGGTGTTTAAATGAGATTATTTTCAGATTCCCTTTTTTCATCTAATTTTGTTTTAAACTAATATATTAATTAAACTAACATATGACTAATTTATGATTTTGTTTTAAGTTCATATGACTTTTAGACCTTTCCGTAAAAATAAATCAATGGAATATAAAACCCATACAATAGTAAGGGTATTCAAATAAAATGTTACATATTATGTTAACACATTTATCGCAAATATAATCTTGGACGAAATCTAGCGTATATTATTTTAGTAACATAATTATGTTCATACGGCGAAAAGAATTTCAGTTCGTGGGCCTTACCGATAATATTTATATTGTTTATTAATATTTCGCCTTATATAATCTAAATTAGTTTTATTTTCGATAAAAATATTATAAAATAAAATTAATAACATTTTTCTTTATTAAAATTAAGACATTTATGTCTTCGTCAATATATAATTTTAATAGAAAATGAGATTATAACAACATTTCAGCCTCGTCAAAATATTTGTAATAATTGATCGTAAATATGTTAGCTACGGAAATTATATGTTTTAGTTATTCTTTAAAAATATAAATACGGTTACCAAAGCCATAAAACAGTTGTTAGCTCTGAACACATGTAATAAAAACCTTTTATGACTAAACATATCTTTGATCTACGTACAGGGTTATTATATATACATAGCTTTGTTTGTTCATACAAGTAATAAAGTAATTATTACAAAAACGAACACGACAATATTTTATAAAAGAAATAGAAAATATCAAGTTAGAATTTTATTAACAAACTCTTCAGGTGTGAAAGAATTTTAAACCTTTATCTTAAATGTCAATATATAAAAACGGGCTTCAAAAATGTTTTATTTTATCCATTATATGTAATTAAAGGGAAGAACAGTAGAATTTTGAATAAAAGGCTTCATTTATAATAAGTAAGTGTCCAACTTGCATAAAACAAAAACTATTATACGATTCTATATAACAACGATATATATATATATTCTCCAAATACAAGGACACTTTTGTAATCCGCTACTACAAATGTGGTCACAAAGACATTGTTTGACATTTAAAGGACATTACAAGCCAGCATATTGCATTTGCAATAGAAATTTTGCAGAAAAGAGAAACTATCAAGGTATTTCCCTATCAGAGAGCGACTTCAATATTTTGTCAACATTTTCTTGAAACAACAAACTTATAATCTAACAACTGTTTTCAAATAGTTTCATAGAGTACCATTTTAGAGGTTTTATATTTTTATATTCAATTTAATACGCCAGTAAATTAAGTTATCATTTTCGGTGGACTATAAATGTCAAGACCAACTGTCAGATATTCTCATCTCGTCTACCCGTGATCACGGTTGCTGCAAAGTAACCGAAACGTCAGGAGTATGTTGTTAAAAAAAATTATGAACTCGTAGTAAATCAGAAAAATATTAGTTTTATTTTAATGAATACTCTCAGGAGTCTTGGATCTCATGATAGGCTTTTCATTCACACAGTGATGAAAAAATGTCTAAGGGCACTCACTGTATATAGTTTCAATAGTAAATCGCTTTCGGAATTTTTCACAATCCACATTGGTTCCGAAAGAATTCCATTCGCGACTACTCCTTAAATAGAATTTACCAAAGAGTAAGCAACATTAATTTCTGATCATTAGTGCCGTATGTTGCCACAGGTTTACCTAACAAGTTGGACTAACTCTTGAGCGTTTACTCTTACTCTTAAGCGTTTCATTCGACTAAACGAGCTTGAAGTCGTTATGCAAACACTCATTTACAGAAGTTAAAATACTAGAACTGTTTTTATTAATCCTACTGGCGAAATAAAATGACAAGCGTGGAATTTAATGTATATTTGTTTCAGAATTAGTAGGTATGAATGGGGTAACACGTCGGACGAGCAGTAGTTTGACAAGATTGCAACGAGCTCCAACCTGCACATCCATGACTTCAGTCCGTCGTGGTAATTCCGCATCTATTTCATCTGCACGTCTATATACAGCCGCACCTCCTGTCCGAGCACTTTCAGTGAGAACTCAATTCCATTAAAGGATTTAATTAGATCGGCTAGCTTTGTATCACTCGAAGCCATATTTTAATATCTTTTTGTTCACTTATTTGCAAACTTAATAAGTAAAAAGATTTCGTATTTATTATTATCTAATTTAAAACTCAGAGTCACAACTCTTATGCATTTAAGATAATTCTAAAAGTGACGAGAGACAATATTTTCTGGGATTAAGTAATTTAAACAGATTACAAAACTTTGTTTAACTCCTATCTATGGTAAAGAAGACTAATAAATGAAACAAATGAAGTTATCTAGAATGTCAGGAATTGTATTTCGAATTTTATTATTGTATATAATTATATAATTGTATGTTATTATTATGATAAATATACTTGGAGAATATACGGGTAAATAAATCGAGTGTATGTTCAGAATAAGCATAATCTATATCGTGATGAACTAATGTAAACAATAATATGAGAACTTACTCTATCCACAGATTAGTTAGCAATTCATTAATGTGGTTTATCGAACATTATTAATTGATATTAGTGACTAATAGACTTTTAGTAGTTATAAAGGATATAATTGACGTCGTTGATATTTCAATAAATACAGAACTAAGAGGAAGATTAAGTTTTGCACGATTCTAGTCATTAAGCTTTATTGTTGTTATTTGATGTCTAAATTATTTAAATATGTGTACATGTTAAACATTTATAATAAATAATGTGTGAAAAAAAACACCGTTATTACTTAGAAATATCCCAATTTAATAACAGTTTCATTGAAAATTTAAGCTATTTTCAATGATTTATAGCACTGCATTTCAGCTCATAATAGTCGAAATGAAAAACGTTTTGCTACATAATGTTTCTATTGAACTTTACTAGGAAAATACTTCTATCTTCCAGACCCATAGTAGGTTATAATAATTTCAGATTGATAACTTTGGTAAATATGCATGACTATAGAATTATTTTCTGAAAAAACAGGGTCTGGGAAGCTTTTCTAGAACCATTTCTTTTTAAAAAATAATATCCGTGATATCAAGAGGGCTGTTGGGAAATTAGTTTAGTAACACGTCTTTTTAATTAGTTAAAAAATTAAGACTAGCTTACTTTGCTTTTTATAGTATTCATTATTTATGTCATGTACTTGAAAGAAGAGTATTATTATTTTTTTTAATATTCTGTAAGTATTGTGGTAGCAGCAGTAAATAGAAACATAAATGAAATCTCAAAGCCAGAAAACTCAATAAAGTTTTATCTTATTTAAGAGACGTTTATTACTCATTCCATAGTGTTACTGTCACAGTTCATGGTGACTTACTTAGTTTCATATAACAGTCTAAAATAATTAATGTTGTATCTTATAGCTGTACTATTCTTGTCCTTATTTTATTGTGTATGTAAGTATTATTGTGTCTTTACTATAAATTGGGATACCAACGTGGAATAGTATAATAAAATAATTCACAAAGCTCTCTAAGTCACATTTACAACCATCACCGAGGGTTTGAATCAGCGGGAGATGACAGTAAAAAGACAGTCCCTAAATCAAATAATAAGTAAACGAATATAATTTACCAGTCCTTATTTAATACATGACAAAGATTACATGAAATAAAATGTGGTTGAAGATTTTATTTATTGAATGGGTTTAAAAGATCAAAAAATATTGAAATATTATAATGCAGATTTACCAGAACATTATAAGTTCTGTTAAGGTCTGTTAAAAGAAATATGCTGAAGCATATTTTATACTTGTAGCAACCTATATATTTTTATATCTACAGTAGTTGTAAAGAATTATTGCTGTTTTTTTATCAATTTTATCAAATTTTATAAAGCTTAGACTAATTTAAATGCGACTAATATTTTTCAGATATACTACGCGTGCTTTATTATTGTAAAAAACTACATACTCCAGATTCCCGATAAAAGCTTTTCAGAGATGCATATCTCGTCTGCCCGTGATTACGGTTGCTGAAAAGTAGCCGAAACGTCGGTAGAATGTAGTTTTTTACAAAAATAAAGCGGGCGAAGTATATCCCAAAGATATTAGTTACATTTAATTGAATAAAACTCGAGAAAGTCTTAGATCTCGTTAAGATAAGACAAAAATATTTTTTTTTAAACTCACCATTGCTTGAAAAAAAGAACGATTTACTTGTTTGTTTCGTAAAAATTTTCATTTAGATATTTTAAAACTGCCAAAACATCAGTACATTTATCTTAATGGTGAGTTCCAAAGAAATATATTATATCAGAAACACATAATTTTTCAATTATCCTGAAGCCTTATGCTATTACTGAAACCTAACGTTAAAATAAATGGCAGCATTAAATCGTTTCTATATTTTATAACATTGATCTCCATATAATTAATAACCACAGAGTTATTATGGAATCAAATTATAAATTTATCAAACTTATCATACATTTTCCAGGTAATTATATATCCAAATTAATTAATCTTCAACTTCATTTTACTAAAATAACATGTAATGTGGTACTGAATTGAACAGTTCGGTCTTATTTACTAATTTATAGCATGGTACGCTAGTAACTAAATATCTTGAACTACATTAGATGCCAAAGAACCGATAGTGTTTAGACATAATTAAATTAAGTATAGCTTACTGTTTTTGAATTCTAAAACAAAGGCTGACAAGCAGCATTGTGTTCTCCTTTTAACTCCTCTATTAAAGCCTTAACTTGTGTTAGGTACTTTCAATAATGATAAATTTAATTAAATATTACAAATATTTTCACTGCTTGAAAAGACTACAAAAATAAATTTTTACAAAGACATTTTTGCCTTTGTTACTTCTGTTTCAATTGTGATGACGAAAATTGTTCGAATTGCAGAATATTTAAAAAAATATTTCATTTTAATTTAATTCTTTCATAGTATTTATATATTATATTATTGTTATTTTATTATAATAATATTGTTATTGGAATGATAAATCTACATTTTCTGTAATTATATCTTTTGTTTTCTCAAGCCTAGTTATACTAATAAATACTAATGTGTGTCTGAGAAATAAAAATTTTGCTGGACAGAAACGTCGTGAAGTTTTAAAATATGTCTGTAAATCTTATAATAACATAAATGAATTAAAAGACTGGTTACCTGGTTTTACTTTTTCTAAGAACATAATCAAACTTCGTATACGATTTTAGCTTCTGATTCATGAATAAAACAGACTCTTTTATATATTTTTGTAATAATTTCAGTGACATAGTCGTATAAGTATGGCTACAGCTGGGAAATTGCCAGGAAGAAGAAGAGTCGTATGAGTATTTTTATTGTATCTGAAATTCTTAATCAATAATTGAATCTCAGTATTAAATTTGAAGTCTTACTTTTTTAAGTAGAAAGAAAGTTAAATTATCTAAGACATACAAATGAATTAATTAGCTTTGTAGTTAATTATTAATTAATTACTTTTGAATAAATATAAAATAAAAGTAATAAACGTTTTAATTATAACTTAAATTGCTGAATAGATGATTATATACATATAAAACCAAAAACACTACATTTTGGACTATAATCTGAACTAATTATCCCGGAATTAACATTAGCTGACCAACGTTACCGCGAACCGCGTTACAGAATTTAGACATAATTTCATAATACGAATTAAAACTGAAATTAATTAGGATATATTCCAGGTATGACGTCTCAGCGTTACCCTAATACTGGATGCAGCATCAAATGTCTTTACACTGAATAAGTTCATTAATAAGCCGAAATTTGCATAAAGTAGAGTGTAATTTAGAGAGTAATATTATTACAATTTATACATGAATACGAACTTTAATTTCGAGAAATTAAATCAAACTATGTATATTTAGGAAAACATTTCCAGAATAAACAAGTGTGATTAAATGAAAGGGGGAAGGAGTTTCTGCAATAAAAGTTTCTGCAAGAATTGTTTTTATGTTAGAAAATTGATCTTTAGTTCGATGCATATAATTTAAAATAATTCACATATAGACTAAGCGGCGATTTTGTGTTAGCCATTTAAAGATTACGTTTAAACATAGAGAAAATATAAATATAAAGAGACATTACGAGTGAGAGCGAAACTAGTACATTTCACGTGACACGTGGTGAATGGTCGACACTAGACACGTGGCGGTTCGATCTTCGTGGTCTATAGTACTTAGTCACTCGAATAAAACCGTAATCACAACCAAAAACGTCCAGGTAATGAATATTTTATTGAAGGATTAAAATTATAAGGGATTTATTGTAAGTAAAACAGCAAACAGTCAATTGTAACTTTACGAGGAAACAATAATACAAAGACTACGTCGACGACAGAGGTCAAATACGGGATACATTAGAATATTTTAATTAATAATACCTACTTTAAAAGAAGTTTTATGATTTCGGCTAATCTTATTGAAAAATAGGTTAGAACACTCACCGTTTCAAGGACATAGGTGTATTTTGAAAGGATAGCGATGGATAATTAGGATTAATAAAATCTCAGCAATACACCAACACACGGGGTAGACTTAAAAGCCTATTACGAAGAAACAGGCAAATGTTGATTGCTCATATTTATATACTTATTCTATATACTTAATTATTTTTTATTTTGTTTTGTTGATTATACTTTTAAAGATTAATTTTAGTGTTACACACATAAGGTGTTCAAAATTATTTTACAATTTTTTCAATAAAAAGAAAATGTTGGCATTGGCAAAATATTCCATGAATTCAGTATGAGTGAAGTCATATCCAATACTAAAAATTAAGTAAACAACTGTCGAGTAATTATATAAAGAGGAAGTTTAAACTAGTATACAAAAAATGTAAGAAAAAATATCAAAATATATAAAAACACAAAAATCTTAACCTTAACTTTCCACCACTTCTACAATAAGAAATCCATATCCTAACGATTTCTTATTGTAGAAGTGGTGGAAAGTGTATGGGGTAGTGGTGTAGTGTTGGGGTGTATTAGATTGTCAGCGTCAGCTACTGTTAGTCGACCTTTAAGGTACAGTTTTCT